ATGTTCATGTTGTTTTGAATGCACTTAGCTCCTAATGGACACGGCTGACACGGAAATGAATTCTCGACAGCGAAGCTGTGAGATCTCCCTGTTTGAAGGCTGTAATAACCAGGAGAACACAGTCTACAAGTGTACTTCACAACCGTGATGTTGAGCCTACAAAAGCTCGCTCTTTTCTCGGTGTAGACAAAATGCGCTGCATTTTCAAACGACAACATGCTACGCTTGCTGCAGTGAATGGTCGTCTTATGGTCGATGTGGACGTAGCCCCCATTAGAGATTTCAAAAACAGTATTCGACCTTCTTTCAGCAATGGCAGAAACCATGGAAGTATTTCGCAAGATGATAGGTCCTTCACTTTCGGAATAAAAGAAAGCAACGTTTCCAAATTTTCTGCCTTCAGGAATTTTAAAAAAGTGCAGTTGTTGAATTCCATTCTACCAGTTCCGCAGGCGGAATAGACTTGCGCTGTTCTCCTGATCGCCAAATTATCTTGAAACGAGCAATTCTGGAATGTGATATTTCCGTTACTGACATATACTGCGCCCGCGACCAAGCCAACGTTCTCCTTAAATAAAGTGTCTTGGAATATCACGTGAGTATCACACCGCCACAGGGGGTGGGTGTCCTTATGGGCATCGCGTTGGACACAGCCTAGTTTCCAGGGCTTATCAGGGTATCGAGAGCACTGCGATCGCTCCAGTTGCTGTCTCGTAGATAGATTAGCTCTTATCGTCAAAATTCCAGGATGAGGTACAATCGCAAAATGTTGACCGTTGTACCGTCAACGTTTTCTTTCCTTGAAAATAAAAAGCAATACGGCTGGCTCTTGGTGAGTACAGTTTACAAGCTGAACGCAACAACAGTCCAGAAACCTGAGAGGAGTTCCTTCAAATACGATCTCGACAATGTTGTTGACACTCTTCTGTTGCTTTCCTTCGTATTAGTTTGAAAATGAAATCCTTCCGCGCACGAAACATACGGGGTCTCTTGAAAACTTTGCATCGTCACGCTCTTGTTAACAAAAATCCCCGGATTTTGATCCTGCGTCACATTCTCGCAGTCAAAGGGATCTCGCTCGGTTCCAGTCCCATTGAGATGTACACGTCCGCCCCAGTCTACTAAGCCCAAAGCCTGCGCTATCGACTTGCATGGTTCGTCGAGAGAGCCACAACCACTGGAGTCTTTTCCGTGGCGAGAAACATGCACGTCATACACATGTTTATGTTTCTGGTCTTGAGCACCTAAGTTTTGTGTTATATCAGTTTCGTTAAAGCAATCCACTTTACAATCTGTCGCTGACTAATTATAAGCTGGTATTCAAGAGATAGCAGCGGGTCTGTCATGAAAATAGCGGCAGAAATAGCATAACTCTTTCCAGCTTATTTCATGCTAATTTTAACTTCAAACTTGTACTTCAAAGGGAGGATAAGTAGCCGTTTTCGTAAGATTTCAGTTTCGACGAGAAACACCTTAGAAGCGATACCGTACAGCTTTCAACAAAGATGTTTTTGTTTATTTTCCGAAAACCTTGGCAGCTGTTGCCTTTTCGAAAATCATAGCTGGCTGTTTTTTTCGGTACACAAAACGACATTTTTATCAATCCGAAAACAAGAAGTAGTATATCTCTCATATGACGAAAGTTCAAGGCGACAATTGACTTAAGAAAATAGGAAGGTATTTAAGGCCTTCCTAAAATTTACTTAAAGCGATCCGTTGGGTCCCCCTGAGAAACTTGAGATGTGACTGCCAGTACTTCTACAGAGCTATCTGTTCGATTTACTCATTTGAACAGGTAACTAACTGTGGCAATCCACCCGTTTGTCTTTCATTCGCGCAGTTAAACATACACGTTTTCTTTTTGTCTTACAGAACCTGGCGATCGAAAACTTTGTCTCCACATTTTTACTGGTTATTTTGCAACTAGCTCGCAAATGTAAACAGCGTGGAAATAAACGGAGAGTGTTTGCCTCTTGGTTGTTTTCAAAACTTGAAAAAATTCCACTCACCGACTCTGGTGCTAAACTGGAGTAGAAGGAATACCAGGAGACGATGTGACAAGATAAGCCAATACTCCGCCATCGAGAAACTCGCGATGTTAACTGTCATGTCTGGTGCTGAACTTAGTGGGAACGATTTAGAACACTGCATTTTAATGACTTACTTCGCTTGGAAAACGAAACGACTCTACCTGTTGCTGTAGATCACGTGCATATAAAAATGAAATATTACACGACCCTAATTTTAAAACGGTGTAAAATGAGAGGGCATGAAAACCTCTCAGTTTAATTATTACTGCACGGGAGAAGTAAGTGTTCAAATACACTCTTGTTGTAAGAATATATTTTAAGACTATCGAGGCTGAAATAAACAACATTTTACGAATATTTTAAGAATAAACCGAGGCTCATTTTATGCTGAATGATTTGCAAACACAAAACAATTATGTTTTAAACTTATCCGTATAAAATTCTTCCTTTCTCTAAACGGCAAAACTAGCCAAAAAACAACAATAACAGCACTAGCCACATGTTCGATGCTAATAACATTTCTGCACGAAGTGATGTGCGTTGTATCAGGCTTTCATGCCTGCATGCAGGTTGGCTCCAAAATTACTTTAATACCATTCAGACACCAAGTACATTTGAAAATAGAAATGTCACACGCTATGATCTAAGAATATTCACAAGAAAATTTAGGCCTGAAATCGGCAGAAAAATAAGATTATTCAGCCTCGGCCGGAAAAACAATATTCTTATAAAAAAGGAGTCTAGTTCTCAGCGGTTTCACATACAAACGAGGCCACTAGGTCATTCTGCATGTGTCATAGCTTTCTCTTGGTTCGAAACTGGGCCAAGTCAGTTTGAAGAGAACAAGCATCACGACTTCTTTTTCTTTCACCCCGCCTCTCCCCCCCATGACAGTATTCTCTTCGTTTTCCTTCGAAACAATCGTAATTCAAGGTATTTTCACTGTCGGCGACTTAAGCTGCGATGAAACAAACGCACAGGAGATCTTCCTAAAAATCTTTTTACTTAAAAACTTTTAACCCGCAATATTTTGTATTTTACATTTTAACACCCTCTATGCAGGCGTCGATTTAATATAATATGCAAAAACAGTTTATGCTGCTCTGGCAATATAGTACTGGATAACGTTCGTTTTTCTTTGGGAACACAATGTTATTACGTGAAACGGACACGTCTTTGATTGCTTGGTAACTAAACTTTTTATATCAATAAACAAGTAACGTAATTACACGACACTCGTAACATAACGATGTTGCCGTCTCGCTCGCCGTAACGCGTTACTTAACGGTCACGCAACGCTTGAGAGAACGTTATGTGACGATCCAAATTTTCGGCTAATGCAGAGAGCAACAGGAACGTATTAACGTTCTAACCAAAGTGAACAAGAATTTCCTCGCCACACTGAGCTGACTTGGGATATTTTAATCTCCATTCCTTTACTTTGTGGTCGAAGGAAAAATCGTTTAACACGGACTTTCGCGTAAGATTTTCCGTGGGGATACATGACTGTCGACAATCTCCCGGCCCGTCGACGCCATCCACCCCATACGGGATCCGATCGTTTGTCCTTAGGAATCAACGGCCCATGACTTCATTCTTGTTACCAGACTCCTGCCAAAACACCTCCACACCAACCGGGAGAGAGTTGGGTGAGAATGAACACCGGGCACGGTCTGAAGGTTTGGGAACGACCTTGATAGTCCACATGAACTTTGATGAACCTGTTCACAAAAGAACTGAAAGCAAAATGCAATTATCCCGTCAGAGCAAAATGAAAGCAACAGGGAAAAATAGTTCTTCGTGAAGTTCGCAACCATCCTAGCAAGACTACGTAATTTAAATGGTAAAGGGATTTCTTGGAGAAAGATTTTTGAGTTTCAGTCTTAGAAGAATGGAGTAGTAAATAGGGAATTAACCAAATACCATCTCGCAGAGGGAGCCTTATTTCACCTTATCTCAGCCCCCACCATCAAGACCGGCCCTCACAGGCTCGGGCCGGTTGAACCTGGGGGCTGCGAAACGGTGAAATTCGGCACCCTCTTTGAAATAGTATTTGGTTAATTCCCTATATACTACTCACAACAAAGGAGTGCGGCATATTAGAAACAAGCGAGCCCGGGGTTATACCGCCCGAGCCGGGATGACTCGAGCGCCAAACAAGTGCGGGTGGCTGAAGCGGGGCCGGAAAGAAAGCTGCGGAAAGCGCTGTTACGGGACGTATTGCGGGCAGCACAACTACCNGATTGCTTGGTAACTAAACTTTTTATATCAATAAACAAGTAACGTAATTACACGACACTCGTAACGTAACGATGTTGCCGTCTCGTCCGCCGTAACGCGGTACTTAACGGTCACGCAACGCTTAAGAGAACGTTATGTGACGATCCAAATTTTCGGCCACTGCAGAGAGCGACAGGAACGTACTAACATTCTAACCAAAGTGAACAAGAATTTCCTCGCCACACTGAGCTGACTAGGGATATTTTAATCTCCATTCCTTTACTTTGTGGTCGGAGGAAAAATCGTTTAACACGGACTTTCGCGTAAGATTTTTCGTGGGGATACATGACTGTCGACAATTTCCCGGCCCGTCGACGCCATCCACCCCATACGGGATCTCCACAAATCCTTCAGCAGCCTTAGGTCAGTAGCGTCCACACTACACCGGAGGAATTTGAAAACGCCGCCTTATTTATTCGGTTAGGCCTACCGTCTACACTAATTAGTCACGAAAACGGAGCTTTTCGAAAACGATCTAAAACCGGAAAAAATGTTGTTTTTTTATAGTGGACAATGCGTTTAACTACACCTAGCTAGTTCTCAGGCGCGCTACCGAAAGTGGAAAAAGAAATAATTCAAATGAACATAATACGCTTAAAAATTCTAACTGGCGGGAGGCAGACCAGTTGGCTATTAACAAGCATGACCGAGGAGTTGAACTAGGATCTACTGAGAAACAACTCCAGCTAAGTGATCAAAGCGGGATTTGAACCCGCTACCGCCGGATTTCAAGTCTGGCGCCCTAACCACTCGGCAACGCTGCTTCCTCCTCCTCCTGGAGGAATTTGAAAACGGCGGCTTTTCGTTGTCGTGTGGACGGAAAGCATTTTGAAAGCAAAGCTTTTCGACAATGATGTAGTCGCGATAATCATGTGATTTCCCCTCTCGAATTTTCCTCAAACACAAATCCAAAACAACCGGTGATTGTTGCGTTTTTAAATTCTTACGGCGTAGTGTGGACGGAAAAGATGTACATTTGATGCGTTTTCAGAGTGAAACCTCCGTTCTCAAGTTCCTCCAGCGTAGTGTGAACGTTCTTCTTTTCGTTCCGTTTGCAGTCCAAAGGCGAATATGAATTCAAACATTACTCGTCAAGATTGTAACTGTCTTACAGGCTTGGGAAAGGTCTAAAATGAAATAAATTGAATTAAATCGAAAGTTCGTAGATAAAGAACGACACATACCCGTTCAAAACCTTGGGAAACGTTCGCTCAAATTTTAATTGAATAAAAAATCTTAATTGAAGCAGATCTTTTGCAATTGAGGAAATCAAAAACATTACAATCAATAGACGATTGAGGATGTTTGCCTAAACATATAAAGGAACAGACGTTTTAACCACCGAGAGGAGAGGAATCCCATACGAAAAGGTTGGGGGAGCTCATCTAAAAATTTGAATTAAAGCTCTACAAGAGACCAATCAGGGCATGGCTCAGGCTTTATTAGGCTTGATTACCAGCCGCTGTTTAGAAGACGAACCTGTGCTGGTAGACTGGACTCAAGAGAGCGGCGGAAATCGAGGCTACAAGAGGAAATGAGAACATTTATTTTTATTATTACTTCTTTGATTGCACACAAAAAGATACTTTAACAGCTAAAAGTAGTGGCATTTGTCCTGAACACCCCCAAGTGAGACCAAAATCCTTGATTTACATCCCTCAGTGAGACAACGAGCATCCCTGACCTTTTGACGTGGGAGTCACCCCCCCCCTCTGGGGTTTTGACATAGAGTTACAAGGTTGCTTAGTTTTAGATTGTCCTCAAAGGAATGTGTTAACTTTGCATAAAATAAAATACTGCATGTTACTAAAGGTTTAAATATTAGTGTTATTTTGCACTGTAATTTTTGCGTCATTTTGAATATTGGGGCAACCTGACAGAACATGGACTAGCATCCCATGCAGGGCGGGGCGGGGGGGGGGTTAGCAAACCTCCTAGCAGCATAAGTGCCACAGAAACTCTAGTAAAGTGCTGACAGCTACAAGCCAGATGGGCTTAAGGGACTCAACATATTACACACTGTAGTTTGAATTGTTTTGGTCTCAACTAGGGGTTGCTTTTGGTGTACTGCGGTCTTAATTGTTCTCATCAGGGGATGTTTACATAAGCAATAGACATTCCTTGGATCTTATTTGAGACATGTTTTTAGGTCAGGTATGAAATAGGTTATAGAAAATCATGTATAGGTCTAAAAATCTAGGGGGTGTTTACGTCTTGAAAAGAGTATCTTATTGGGTACTGTGCTAGCCTGTAAACAGGCCCCCTAGTAGGAAAGGGAAGAAAAGGAAATTGGTTAAGCTGAGCGGAGATCTCTCTGCCCAGTCTGCACTGGGATCTCTCCGCCTGTCCTTTTTTTAACCCTCTACCCACCCAGGGACCAGTTCCCATGCCAATACTCTAATATCGGCCAATATCAGAGTTGAACTTTTACAGAAAATTATCTTTTAATCTTCCGCTTGTTTTGAAACTTTCAAAAGTTGTTTTAAGTTATTAAGTACCAGTAAGACTGCTTTTGACTTGTAACAATTATCTCTCAATTATATGACGAAAAAAAAACAAAGCATTAGTTTGTACTTTCAAAACGTCGACTGCAGTATAGTAGGCTTTCAAATACTTAGACCCTGTTATATAGATACTGTAACAAAGCTATGTCTTAACAAGATGCTCAGCAGAGGCGAATCTAGGGGGAGGGTGCAGGGGGTGTGCACCCCCCTGGAATGAAGCTCTCTTCTTAGTATTCGCTTTCAAAATTTGTTTCCCTCACTAGTCAGTTCGCCACTCCTTGGTGGTGCACCCTTCCTAAGAAAAATCCTGGATCCACCACCCCTGCTTATGACATAATAAAATATAATGGTTTTAAGTTAATTATGGCAAGTAAGGTGAAAGTAAACATGTGCTAGTTCCACTCTTTTTAACTCGGGTTGAAAAGAGGCAATAGGTTCTTAAAAACGCATTTTATATTACTTGGAAGTCTCAGTAAATCAGGATAAAAACTAATCCAACCATAATTTTACTTAGGCGAGTTTTCCCGCGCTTTTCGCAGGTGGCATGTCTTCCCGCGGTTGGCGCCATTTACACAATTTGAAACAGTTCACTGGGTTGTTTGTGTTTGTCTGCATGATTAGCCGATCGAAACAATTGTCTTGGTTTTGATTTCAAGACAGTTGTTTATAGAAATCTGGCCGTTGTTTGTTGATCGAGTTGTTCAATAGTTGATTCACAAGAATGTCCTTCCATATTGCTCTGCAGGTTTGGATTGTTCTTTCCATTTCAATCAGTTAGAAAAGCGGTGCTGTCATCTAGATACTCGTAGTACAGTCTCCGCGCAGAAAAACGAATGTATATTTTCCGCTTGAGGAACAGGACAAACCGAACTAGCTGAGAAAACAATGCAAACAGGAATAGCAGTGCAATCACCACGGGAAAGAAGCAAAGAACAGCTACTATAATCCACCTTAAAACCACCATGATGTGTCTGTTAGGCCCCTCGGGTTTCACAGCAAAAGACGTCAAGGTGGCCGCCGTGAGGTTCATGATCGCTACACAGGCCAGCAAGCCCAGAGATAAAGTTCCAAGTTTGTCCGCCACAGGGTCTCGGAATGGCTTCTTGATTAAATGAAGGGCCAACATCAGGACACATGTCGTGGACATGCACAAGAAAAGAAGCATGGAATTTGGAATGAAGGACTGGAATGTGAGAAGGACAAGCCTTCCACCAATCAGAACGCTTTCCCAGTAGAGCGTGCCTTGATCTTTGTCACCGGGTGGACGGAATGGGCCGTACAATATCTTGGAAATTTCATCGGTGCATTCATCGCGGATCTGAGTTGGGTTGCGATTTTGCCTGGTGCGGCGGTATAAACCCTTCACAAGCCAGCGGACAAGGAAGGGAAGTGGTATGATGCAAGCCCCAACAAACTCTTTCCAAGATATAGTCTTGTTATAAAGTTTGCTTGAACCCCAGTAAAGAACACCAACAAATGGAACGACAAAAATTGCATTAAATGCCAGGAGACCATACTGCCACCATTGCCAACAAAAGTCTCAACAAGATGCGTAGCACAGTTCTATCAAATAAAATGGTTTTGAATTCGCTCTGGAAAGTAACGTGAGAGTAAATATGTTTTATTTGCACTCTGGTTCACTCGGGTCTTGAGTGTTTTGGGAACATTCCTAACCAATCAGGGCAAGCCTTACGGATGAAGAATGAAACCTAAACCAACCGCACAGGTTACCCAAGCTCGCAAATGAGCGTTCCTTGTACATCTGTTATAGAGGACAAAGCAGTGAAGCTTAAAGCCACATAGAGTCGGCCTAAAAACCCCACGAAAACCAAGGAAACACACACTTGAAGCGAAATAGGTCTATTTTTGTTCAGAATCCTTCGTATCTTTTAGGCTTAAGAATAGAACCGTTTTCTCCATACAAATCCTGGCTTTTTGACTATTGCGTAACCTGTGTGCTAATGTATGTACAAGGGACGTTCATTTGCGAGCACGTCTTTTCCCGCGCTTTTCACGGGTTGCATGTTTTCCCGCGCTTGGCGCCAGTTGCACGATTTGAAACAGTTCATTGGGTTGTTTGTGTTTGTCTGCATGATTAGCCGATCGAAACAATTGTCTTGGTTTTGATTTCAAGACAGTTGTTTACAGAAATCTGGCCGTTGCTAGTTGATCGAGTTGCACAAAAGTTGATTCACAAGAACTTTCTTCCGTATTGCTCCGCAGGTTTGGATTGTTCTTTCCATTTCAATCAGTTAGAAAAGCGGTGCTGTCATCTAGGTACTCGTAGTACAGTCTCCGCGCAGAAAAACGAATGTATATTTTCCGCTTGACGAACAGGACAAACCGAACTAGCTGAGAAAACAATGCAAACAGGAATAGTAGTGCAATCACCATGGGAAAGAAACAAAGAACAGCTACTATAATCCACCTTAAAACCACCATGATGTGTTCGTTAGGTCCCTCGGGTTTCACGGCAGAAGACGTCAGGGTGGCCGCCGTAAGGTTCATGATCGCTATACTCGCCAGCGCGCCTAAAGATAAATTTCCGAGTTTGTCCGCCACAGGGTCTCGGAATGGCTTCTTGATTAAATGAAGGGCCAACATCAGGACACATGCCATGGACATGCTCAAGAAAAGAAGCATGGAATTTGGAATGAAGGACCGGAATGCGAGAAGGACAAGCCTTCCACCAATCAGAACGCCTTCCCAGTAGAGCGTGCCTTGATCTTTGTCACCAGGTGGACGGAATGGGCCGTGCAATATCTTGGAAATTGCATCGGTGCATTCATTGCGGATCTGAGTTGGGTTTTGATTTTGCCTGGTGTGGCGGTATAAACCCTTCACAAGCCAGCAGACAAGGAAGGGAAGTGGTACGATGCAAGCGCCAACAAACTCTTTCCACGATATAGTCTTGTTATAAAGTTTGCTTGAACCCCAGTAAAGGACACCAACAAATGGAACGACAAAAATTGCATTATATGCCAGAAGACCATACTGCCACCATTGCCAACAAACGATGTTTCCATCAAAGTAGAGACGCCACACGGAACCAACAGATACGCAATGCATCAGTTTGAGAGATGTTTCTACAAGGCGATCGTAACCTAGCAACAGTATCTCCACGGCAACGGCGACGTAATGAGCAAACAATGGCTTACCTCTCCGCAAGGTCAGGTTCACTGCCAAATGAAGACAGTAAATGATGAAGACGTGAGCTATGGCGACAAAAACTAGGGCAGAGAGGAAGAGCTCTTTTGTAACCGCCGTGAGGCCAGGGAATGGGCAGCCGATTCCTTTGTCGACGACATTTACTTCAAAGTTAAAAAGAGCAACTACTGTGGAAATGTAAGGAACCTTGGCCATCGTGTTCTCTAACGAATCAGTGCTAAGCAAGTCAGCAACTTGATAGAAGAAAAACGCAATTTTAATGTAGCCATACTCTAGGTCTTCCTCGTTGTGACCCGCTGAGAGTTCCAGGGATCCAGCTCGTTGTCGATCGTTCCTAAACCACAGAATCTGCTCTTTTAAAAACAGTACCATGGAAGGCTTCTTTAACAAATAAATGATCAACAAGACATAGTAAAGGGCCATCAAACTCCACAGCGTATAATTCCAGTTGCATTCTGATGATTTCCTACAATGCGAAGAAAACAGTGTCTCAGAATACCCATCCGCACATTGACCGCAAAGAATCCCAGATCTAAAACCATGGCAGCTGTTGTACTCGTTTTCGTGGTATGAATTGGGATCTTGATAACGGCAGTATTCCCAAGGACAAGGCAAGAATTTCAACGAAGAAAAATTACTTCCATTAGTAATTTTGTAACCCCAAAAATTTGGTTTTGCCAGAATATTGTTGAGTCCGTTGCAGTGACCTCCAAATGGACATTGAAGACACTTGATGTAATTACGAATGGCTAGTCCTTTAGTATGTCCTCTGTCAAGACTGTACATTTTAGAAGGGCACATTCTACAACTGAAGAGTACAGTTGTTACTTTAAGACGGCAAAAATTGTTTCCCTTTCCACCTTCGTAAATGAAGTGAGAGAGATTCTTGAACTGCAGAGAGCTGCCTATTGCACACTGGATCGTTGAGCTCTGGTCCATGTGGAAATAACCGCTTGAATATATTCTCAAAACAGACTGATGTTTGTTTCTGTCGTCAATGTCGGAGTGAAAGGAAGTGTTTTCTATCTTGAGTGGGCCTCCGCTCTCTGAACGCAGAAATCTTCCAACTACAAAGGTGTATCTTGGTATGCCTTGGTATGTCCCTTCGGTTTTCGTGCGTTTGAACATACAGCTCTTAAACTCGACCTTGGCGCTTCCGTACCCGACATATACTTGGCCAATGTCTCTTTCGGAAAAATTGTCGATGAAACTGCATCTGTGAAACTTCACGTAACCATTGATGATCTGAACTGCTCCTGAGATTCTTCCAGAGTTATTTTGAAACAAGGTGTCTTCAAACAACACGTGACTTGTGTACCTCCATTTGCGATGGGTGTTGGTTGTAACAGTAGAAGGAACGCATCCTCTTTTCACCATTTCATCGGAGTCGAAGAGAAAAAAAAGTGCCCCCTGACTTGTCACATAGCGAGGCATGTTCTTGAATCGTCTGTTAATCCAATTGTCTATTTCTACAGTAAAGCTGTCCCGAAATATGCATCGGCGTATATTAACCGTTTTGTTCCCCTTGGAAAGCAACGCAAACGTATTTGACGGCCGTCCAATGAAGGTAACATTTTCTATCTCGATTTTTGTCGCAGCAGAAACATTTGTTCTTTCTAGGTAAGGTATAATGACACGAATACCAAACGTTGACTGATTCTCTGTTCTTTCTCTGCCGTCAAATAGCGTGTTGGTGACGAGGAAGCCGACATTGATACTGTTGTTTAGCAAAGCATACAAATCGTTCTGGTTGTTTCGAAATATGCAGTTATTCACAACAACGTGTAAATGAAAACCGTTCCTGTTCAGCATCTGGTCATAAGGCGGCCGCATAACGACACCATCCATCGAGGAAGACACTGTTACATTTTCAAGTGTGACTCTGAAGTTAGGGGTTATAACTACTGCACGTTTATTATTCCTGTCAAACGTTGTGTTGGAGATCTTAATTGTCCCTGCTCGAGCTCCAGTTCCCATAACCCAGAAAATTGGCGCTCTCTTTTTTTTGCTCGCACTGTTGTTNACAAAGCAGACAAATCTCTCTTGTTATTTCGAAATGTACAGTTATTCACAACAACGTTTAAATGAAAACCGTTCTCCTTCAGCAACTGGCCATAAGGCGGCCACATAACGACACCATCCATCGAGGAAGACACTGTTACATTTTCAAGTGTGACTCTGAAGTTATGGGTTATAATTACTGCACTTTTTTTATTCCTGTCAAACGTTGTGTTGGAGATCTTAATTGTCCCTGCTCGAGCTCCAGTTCCCGTAACCCAGAAAATTGGCGCTCTCTTTTTTTTGCTCGCACTGTTGTTGTAGAAACGCGACTCGGAAACTTTGACGTCAAGTGTTTCATTTTGTCTGCTTTGGATTCTTAGGCACATTATTTGATAATTATTCGTACAGTGCAACCGAAAAAATGCCACATTTGCCATCTCCACGTTAGAAAAGTAAAGGCTATGAGACCAGAAGTAATGATTTCTGTGAAGATCAATGCTATTGTATGTTTCCATGGTAACAGCTGTGGGCAAATCGACAAATAGGAAATGTCCCATATTTGCAGCGCACACGATCTTGTTGGCCGTTATGCGCAGTTGAATTTTACTCGAAAATCCCGTTTCGTTCAATAATACGACACCACCTCTTCTTAGTGATGTGGCGTTTAATCCATTTTTCAAGATTTTAGTATCATCCAAACGCAATGAAAATTCCATGTCTGTCCCAGAGCCTGGCGCAAAGTGGATTTTCACACACAAAAAATTGCTCTGACAGAGTGAGCCACGAATAGTGAGACTGGTATTCAGGCTTTTTGCTACACGAACATTGACAGCCTCCTTGGTGTTTTGAAGGGAACAGTTGACAAGCGAGATGTTGCTGCAGTCATTGAATTTCAGAGGTGTGCTAAAGAACGTTATGCCAGTTAATGTTATCCACAATCTCTCGTTTGATCGGTGAAAATGAATCCCTTTCAAACACGACACATAAGCTAGAGTCGATTCTAAACTAGTCATTGNCTCCATTCGTCTATTTCTACAGTAAAGCTGTCCCGAAATATGCATCGGCGTATATTGACCGTTTTGTTCCCATTGGAAAACAACACAAACTTATTTGATGGCCGTCCAATGAAGGTGACATTTTCCATCTCGATTTTTGTAACAGCAGAAACATTTGTCCTTTCTAGGTAAGGTATAATGACGCGAATACCAAACGTTGACTGATTTTCTGTTCTCTCTCTGCCGTCAAATAGCGTGTTGGTGACGCGGAAGCCGACATTGATACTGTTGTTCAACAAAGCAGACAAATCTCTCTTGTTATTTCGAAATGTACAGTTATTCACAACAACGTTTAAATGAAAACCACTCTCCTTTAGCAACTGGTCATAAGGCGGCCACATAACGACACCAGCCACCGAGGAAGACACTGTTACATTGTCGAATGTAACTCTGAAGTTAGGGCTTACACTTATTGCAAGTTGATTATTCCTGTCAAAAGTTGTGTTGGAGATCTGAATTGCCCCTGCTCGAGCTCCAGTTCCCACGACCCGGAAAATTGGCGCCTTCTTTCCTTGGCTCACACTGTTGTTGTAGAAACGCGACTCGGAAACTTTGACGTCTACTGTTGCGTTTTTTCTGCTGTAGATTGTCAGGCACCTTATTTCATAATTATTCTTACACTGCAACCTAACAAATACCACATTTGTCATCTTCACTTTGGAATAGTAAAGGCTACGAGACAAGTTGGCGTAATGATTTCTGTCAAGATGAATGCTGTTGTATGTTTCTATGGTAACAGCTGTGGGCAAATCGACAGATAGGAATTGCCCTATATTTGCAGCGCACACGATCTTGTCGGCCGTTATGCGCAGTTGAATTTTACGCGAAAATCCCGTTTCGTTCAATAATACGACACTACCCCTTGTAGTGTTAGCGTTTAATCCATTCTTCAAGAATGTAGTATTATCTAAATGCAATGAAAATTCCATGTCTGTTCCAGAGTCTTGTGCAAAATGGATTTTCAAACACAAAGAATTGTTCTGAAAGGTTGAGCGACGAATAGTGAGACTGGTATTCAGGCTTTTTGCCACACGAACAGTGACAGTCTCTTGGGTGTCTTGAAGGAAACAGTTGACAAGCGAGATATTGCTGGAGTCATTAAACTTGAGAGGGGTACCAAAGAACTTTATGCCAGTTAATGTTATCCACAATCTCTCGTTTAATCGGTGAAAATGAATGCCTTTCAAACACGACACATGAGCTAGAGTCGATTCTAAACTAGTCATTGTTACGCTCTTGGACACTGGAATACCAGAATGATGGCCATTCGTGATGCTATTCCCGCAGTCAAATGGCTGTTGCTTCGTTCCATTGCCATTGAGGACGATGCGCCCGCCCCAGTCCACTTGGTCAACCGCCATTGCTATTGTGCGACATGGTTCAAGGCTGGTGCCACAAGTCTTGGTATCACTTCCAAATATGGAAACGTGGACAGTTTGTTGAGGACTCTCGAGGCAATCTGTAAGTACAAATACACGAGACACATTGTGATAACAAAATACAACTGGTTTTGGTGGACTGTTGAATTTAATTATTTGATGTTTCTGGTTCTATTTGGTGTGCCCTGCCCTCATTAGCCGGGTGTGTTTCTTAGACACTTTGGTCTTGGGAAAGTTTTAAGATCGGATCAATCAACCAACCAGTCAGTCAGTCAGTCAGTCACTTAGTTAATCAGGTATGCAGTCAGTCAGTCAGTCAGTCAGTCAATCAGTCAGTCAATCAATCATTCATTCATTCAATCATTCATTCATTCATTCATGCATTCTTTCATTCATTCATTCATTCGTTCATTTATGCATTCATTCATTCATTCATTCATTCAGTGAGTCAGTCAGTGAGTCAGTCAGTTCATGAGTAATTCATTCATTCATTCATTCATTATTCATTATTCATTCATTCATTCATTCATTCATTCAGTCAGTCAGTCAGTCGGTCAGGCAGGCAGGCAGGCAGTCAGTCAGTCAGTCAGTAAGTCAAACAGTCAGTCAGTCAAGGAGTCAGTCAGTAATTCCATCAGTCAACCGGGCAGGTAGAGTGCGACTGTGTGCACTTATACTATTAGAGAAAATCAAAAAACCTATCACCGTGTTCGGGGTAGAGATTGATTGTATGGCAAGAAAGCAGAAAATTTCTGAAAGTGCATTGAGTATTATTTACCCTATGGTACCAAAATGAAACAAATATCAAGGATGGAATCAAAACCTACTGAGCGTCCACCTGAGTGAAAATTAAGGGTTTAATGCTGTAAATATGGCAAGGTAATTGACAAAAAGAAATCACTGTCACCATGTGCATAAATTATTTTATTCTATAGAGGCCAAACTGTCGTGTAATGGCCCTATTCTCCCAGAAAAAAAGGAATTCAGTCTAGTAAGTCAAACTGCCGTGTTATAACAGTAAACTTTCTCTTTTTACGATGTCCGAACTAACTAAATTCTGTTACGATAATACACATGCAATTGTCTGATTTCTTGAAAGAAAAGTCATCGAAGTGTTGCCCTTATCAAGAGCTATCCTCAATGTTAGTTCCTTGGTTGTTCAAGAGAGGTTCTCTTAAATCTTCAAGAGATCTGCGAGTGCTGCCAGAGACCGTTGCACATTTACAGGCTCGGTTTATGAGACAAACAATCAAACACACTGTGTGTGACAGAATCGCAAAGGCAGCGAGAAGAGACAGTAAGGCTGGAACGGTAGCCATGGCTGCCAACTCGAACCACTGCATACCATCGATGTACAATTTGTTTTCGTCTTCAGGAGTGATACCAGAGGAGAGAAGAGTTGCCTTGATCAGGTTGATCATAGCTAGGATGGACAACACAACCAAGGACGTGGATTCGACTTTGTTGGCTGTGGTGCTTCGGAAAGGACGCTTAACAATGTGATGGATGGCCATTAGTTCACATGTCACAGCTAAGAACAGACAGCGTAGCATAGCATTTGAGATGAAAGAGTGGAATGATAGAAGGATGAGCCGTCGGCCAATCAAGACGCTTTCCCAGTGCAGAGTGCCTTGGTCACCATCACCGGGCGGACGGAATGGCCCTTGTAAGACTTCCATCACTTCGTCTTCTTTTCCCTTTGGTCTCATGGCAGATTCTTCTCTCTTTCCTGTACAAAAGGACTTTATAAACCAATAGGCGAGGAACGGCAAAGGAAAGACACAGGCTGCCAGAAAGCCGCTTGCAGAAATGGAGGAATTATAGAGTTTTCGAGAACCGAAATACAGAACAGCGATGAAGGGAACGACAAATATCACGATGTACCAAAGAAGAAGGTACTGCCATGTTTGCCAGCAAAGAGTGTTTCCATCAATGAACAACCGGCTTTGAGAGCCAATAGATACACAGTGCATCAAACCAAGCGACGTTTCCGCTAGTCGATCGTAACCTAGTAACAGTATCTCCAGGACGACTGCCATGTAATGGTGCACCGATGGCGTTCCCCTTTTCAGCAGCAGGTTAACAACGACGTGGACGCAATAAACGACAACAACATTCGCCATTGTGACAAAAACTGACATAGAAAGAAACAACTCCTTTGTTACTGCTGTCAGGCCTGCAAAAGGACAGCCAATTCCTCTGGAGATATCGTGAACTTGGAAGTTGTATGCAGAGACGACGATGTAAATATATGGAACTTTGTGGACCAGGTCTCCAATTGAGTTGTCTATGAGCAAATCAGCCACTTGATAGTAGTAGAAGACAATCTTTAGATAGCCAGTGTCCCTTTGTTCATCGATGTGGCGACTCTTTTCTCGTGATTGTACATTCCCCTTCTTCCTTATAAACCATAGGACTTTTCTTGCACACAAGAGACGCAGGAGGGGTGGTTTGGTCAACAGATATGCAGCCATCCCAACTGAGAAAACAAAGATAACCAGCCATAAAAAATTGTCACTGCATTGACTCGTTTGGCGGCAATTGGCAGAGAACAGTGATTCAGTGTACCCAGCAGCGCATTTACCACACAGAAAACCAGTTCTGTTTCCACGGCAACTGCTGAAGGCTTGTGATTGGGTGCTTGGGGATTGACAGTAGTCCTTGGGACATGGAATAAACCTCAGCAGTGCTGTATGACGTGTTTCCGGGACCTGGTATCCCCAGAAGTTCTCTTTGGCTGCTATGTTCATGTTGTTTTGAATGCACTTAGCTCCTAATGGACACGGCTGACACTGAAATGAATTCTCGACAGCGAAGCCGTGAGATCTCCCTGTTTGAAGGCTGTAATAACCAGGAGAACACAGTCTACAAGTGTACTTCACAACCGTGAAGTTGAGCCTACAAAAGCGTTTTCTTTTCTCGGTGTAAACAAAATGCGCTGCATTTTCAAGCGACAACATGCTACCCTTGCCGCAGTGAATGGTCGTCTTATGGTCGATGTGGACGTAGCCTCCATTAGAGATTTCAAAAACAGTATTCGACCTTCTTTCAGCAATGGCAGAAACCATGGAAGTATTTCGCAAGATGACAGGTCCTTCACTTTCGGAATAAAAGAAAGCGACGTTTCCAAATTTTCTTCCTTCAAGAGTTTTACTCTTTCGTTTACTGGAAAAAGTGCAGTTGTTGAATTCCATTCTACCAGTTCCATAGGCGGAATAGACTTGCGCTGTTCTCCTGATCGCCAAATTATCGTGAAACGAGCAGTTCTGGAACGTGGTATTCCCGTTACTGACATACACTGCGCCCGCGATCAAGCCAGCGTTCTCCTCAAATAAAGTTTCTTGGAATATCACGTGAGTATCATACCACCACAGGGGGTGGGTGTCGGTATGGGCATCGTGTTGGACACAGCCTGGTTTCCAGGGCTTATCAGGTTTGGAGAGAACCGATATTGCTCCAGTTGCTATCTCGTAGATAGATTTGCTCTTACGGTTAAAATTCCAGGCTTCTCTGTAAAATGAGGTACAATCGCGAAATACCGACCGTCGTATCGTCAACGTTTTCTTGCCTTGAAAATAAAGCACAAAACTACTGGCTGGGCGCGAGTAAAAATAAACACTGTCCAATTCTATCGAAGCTCTTGATGTATTCAGCTTGTTCAGGGTTGGAATGAAAAACCGAATGGAATAGGCGTTGATGTCTCGTGTTTTGGGACGGCCTAGAAAGGTCGTGTTCACAATTTTTAGCCAAACTGAACGTGGGTCCCGAATAGTGGATGATATATCGTACACGTTGTGTTTGAAGGTGCAGTTATCGATGAGAATACTAACGGGAAAGGTTATGTTATCGTAGCCAGGCCATTTCCTGGATATATTCAATCCGTACCTACAGGAAACAGTTGTGACATTTACGAGTTTGATCCTGTATTTTGGACTAATGACCAGCGCACAATTTTGGATATCGAACATGGAGGTGTTGGCGACAACTGCGCTTCCTCTGTGTTTCCCCAATGCCTGTACCTCAACGAAAACACTGCGATTGGAATGACCACCGTCAATGAAACTGGACCGAGAAATCTTCACGTCTGCCTTGCCTCCTGTAGCTCCTACGAATACAGCTCCCGCCGTGTCTGGTCGACTGGTAAACCAGTTGAATTCTTCGAAGATAACGTGTCCGCTTTTAAGCATAAGACACACGCTACTACATGTTGAAGTTTTCTTGGCGTAACAATTCTTGACATTAACATTTCTGATAGACGCGTATAGAGTGTATACTATCGGTTTACTTGCAAGCTTGTTTTTTTTTCCAATCAGAATCGCGGACCCGTCTGTTGTAGCTTCGCATCCGGTGAAATTGACGTTGGTGAGGTCGAGTCTTAGGTTACCGCCCGGCGCGTACCACGCACTATTAAGGTAGATTGCTCCTCCACTGTTCGCTTTGTTTTTCTTAAACAAGGTCTTTATTACCACCAGAGACGCGTGCAGTTTGGACTCGATAAACACGCCCCCGCCTTTTCCATTCATTGCGTTATGCCCGACGAATGACGAATTCTCAATTAAGACTTTAGCTTCCTCGGCGTAAATTTTGATGCATCTTAAAGCCTGATTACTTGTGTTGTTAGCGCAGCGTAAGTCCACGAATTTCGCACTAGATTTCCTGGCACTGGAAATGTACATACTGTCTTTAAAGCGTTTTTTTTTCGTGTCCACGCTGTTGTTGGACAGCTTAACCCGATTGTATGTCTCCTTGGTTACCGATGTGGGCAAATCTAAAACAACGAAAGGAACCCGGTTTCCAATACAAGTAATCTCTTGGCAGGAAATCTGGACACGCATTAGCCTGGCGGGTTTTTTGACGTCTGTTGCTATGGAGATAAGAGCCTTCGCTGACAGGTGCTCATCAACCCCATTTTCTAGAAATCTCGTTCGACTAATAGTCACTGTAAGGGACTTGTCACTGCTTGAATTCTTTAACAAAATCGTTACGCAGTTATGATTGTTTCTAAATAATGATAGGCCCTTGATATCAAGGTGAACACTTGGGATGTTCTCCGCGCGAACACTGACAGCTGTTTTCGTCTCTCGGTGAGTACAGTTTACAAGCTGAACCCAACTACAGTCCAGAAACCTGAGAGGAGTTCCTTTAAATACCATCCCCGACAATGTTACTGACACTCTTCTGTTGTTTTCCTTCGTATTAGTTTGAAAATGAAATCCTTCCGCGCACGAAACATACGGGGTCTCTTGAAAACTTTGCATCGTCACGCTCTTGTTAACAAAAATCCCCGGATTTTGATCCTGCGTCACATTCTCGCAGTCAAAGGGATCTCGCTCGGTTCCAGTCCCATTGAGATGTACACGTCCGCCCCAGTCTACTAAGCCCAAAGCCTGCGCTATCGACTTGCATGGTTCGTCGAGAGAGCCACAACCACTGGAGTCTTTTCCGTGGCGAGAAACATGCACGTCATACACATGTTTATGTTTCTGGTCTTGAGCACCTAAGTTTTGTGTTATATCAGTTTCGTTAAAGCAATCCACTTTACAATCTGTCGCTGCCTAATTATAAGCTGGTATTCAAGAGATACCAGCGGGTCTGTTATGAAAATAGCGGCAGAAATAGCATAACTCTCTTCAGCTTATTTCATGCTCATTTTAACTTCAAACTTGTACTTCAAAGGGAGGATATTCGTCGTTTTCGTAAGATTTCAGTTTCGACTAGAAACACTATATGAGCGGTACCGTACAGTTTTCAACAAAGATGTTTTCGTTTATTTCCCGAAAACCTTGGCAGCTGTTGCCTTTTCGAAAATCATAGCTGGCTTTTTTTTCGGTACACGAAACGACAAAAGGCAGTATATCCCCCATATCACGAAAGCTCGAGGCGATAATTGACTTAAGAAAACAGGAGGGTATTTACGGCCTTCCGAAAATTTACTTAAAGCGATCCGTTGAGTCCCCCTGAGAAACTTGAGATATAACTGCCAGCACTTCTACAGAGCTGCTGATAATAGTTCCATTTAAGTAAGTTATTCCCTAACATTCTATCTGTTCGATTTACTCATTTGAACAGGTAACTAACTGTGGCAAGCCACCCTTATTTCTTTCATTCGCGCGTTCGTCGAGAAAGTTAAACGTACACGTTTTTTTTTTGTCTTGCAACTAGCTCGCAAATGTAAAAAACGGAGAGTGTTTGCATCTTAGTTGTTTTTAAAACTTGAAAAACTTCCACTCACCGACTCTGGTGCTGAATTGGAGGAGAAGGAATACCAGAAGACGAGGTGACAAGACAAGCCAATACTCCGCCATCGAGAAACCAGCGATGTCAACTGAACATTGTCTGGCCCTGAACTTAGTGGAAACAATTTAGAACACTGCATTTTATGGACTTAGTTCGGTTGGAAAACGAAACGACACTACGTGTTGCTGTAGATCACGTGCATATGAAAATGAAATATTATACGACCCTAATTTTAAAATGGTATGAAACGAGAGAGCATGAAAACATTTCAGTTTAATTATTACTGCACGGGAGAAGTAAGTGTTCAAATACACTCTTTTGTTAAAAGAATATATTTTAAGACTATCGAGGCTGAAATAAACAACATTTTACGAATATTTTAAGAATAAACCGAGGCTCATTTATGCTGAAATGATTTGCAAACACAAAACAATTATGTTTTAAACTCAACCGTATAAAATTCTTCCTTTCTGGTCCTTTCTCTAAACGGCAAAACTAGCCCAAAAACAACAATAACAGCACTAGCCACATGTTCGATGCTAATAACATTTCTGCAAGAAGTGATGTGCGTTGTATCAGGCTTTCATGCCTGCATGCAGGTTGGCTCCAAAATTACTTTAACACCATTCAAACACCAAATACATTTGAAAAAAGGAATGTCATGCGCTATGATCTAAGAATATTCACAAGAATATTTTCAGCCTAAAATCGGCAGAAAAATAAGATTATTCAGCTACGGCCGGAAAAACAATATCCTTATATAAAAAAAGTCTAGTTCTCAGAGGTTTCACATACAAACGAGGCCACTAGGTCATTCTGCACGTGTCATAACTTTCTCTTGGTTCGAAACTGGGCTAAATCAGTTTGAAGAGAACAAACATCACGACTTCTTTTTCTTTCACTCCGCCTCTCCCCCCATTAAAGTATTCTCTTCGGTTTTCGTCGAAACAATCGTGATTCAAGGTATTTTCACTGTCGGCGACTTAAGCTCCAATAAAACAAACGAACGCGCAGAAGTTCTTCCTAAAAATCTTTTTATTCAAAGCTTTTTAACTCGCAATATATTGTATTTTACATTTTAACACCCTCTCTGCAGGCGTCGATTTAATGCAATATCCAAACAGTTTATGCTCCTCTCGTGATATATTACTGGATAACGTGCATTTTCTTTTAGGAACACAATATTATTACTTGAAACGGACACGTCTTCGATCGCTTGGTAACTGAACTTATATCAGTAAACAACTAAGTAATTACGCGACACTCGTAACGTAACGATGATGTCGTCTCCTCCAACGTAACGCGTTACTTGGGGGTCACGCAACGTTTGAGAGAACGTTATGTGACGGTCCAAATTTTCGGCTACTGCAGAGAGTGACACGAACGCACTAACATTCTACCCAAAGTGAACAAGAATTTCCTCGCCACGCTGAGCTGACTAGGGATATTTTAATCTCCATTCCTGTACTTTGTGGTCGGAGGAAAAATCGGTTAGCACGGACTTCGCGTAAGATTTCCCGTGGGGATACATGACTGTCAACAATTTCCCGGCCCGTCATCCACCCCATACGGGATCCGATCGTTTGTCCTTAGGAACCAACGGCCCATGACATCATTCTTGTTACCAGACTCCTGTCAAAACACCTCCACACCAACCGGGAGAGAGCTGGGTGAGAATGAACACCGGGCACGGTCTGAAGGTTTGGGAACGACCTTGATAGTCCACATGAACTTTGATGAACCTGTTAACAAAAGAAAAGCAAAATGCAATTATCCTGTCAGAGCAAAAATAATAACAACAGGGAGAAATAGTTCTTCATGAAGTTCGCAACCATCCTAGCAAGACTACGTAATTCAAATAGTAAAGGAATTTCTCGGAGAAAGATTTTTGAGTTTCAGTCTTAAAAGGATGGAGACAAATTATCTCCACAAATCCTTCACTAGCTTTAGGTCAGTAGCATCCACACTATGCCGGAGGAATTTGAAAACGCAGCTTTATTTCTTCGGTTAGGCCTACAGTCCACACTAATCCGTAAAGAAAACGGAGCTTTTCGAAAACACTCTAAAACCGGAAAAAAAAATATGTTGTTCTGGTTTACAGTGGACAACGCGCTTAGCTACACCTAGGTAGATCACAGGCATGCTACTGAAAGTGGCAGAAAGAAATTTGTCAAATAAACATATTAGGCTTAAAAATCAACACTAGCGGGAGGCAGACCAGTTGGCTATTTACAAGCATGGCCGAGGAGTTGAACTAGGGTCTACCGAGAAACAACTCCAGCTAAGTGGTCAGAGCGGGACTTGAACCCGCTACTGCCGGACTTCAAGTCCTGCGCCCTAACCACTCAGCCACGCGACCTCCTCCTCCCCCTGGAGGAATTTGAAAACGGCGGCTTTTCGTTGTCGTGTGGACGGAAAGCATTTTGAAAACAAAGCGTTTCGACAATGATATAGTCGCGATAATCATGTGATTTCCCTTCTCGAATTTTCCTCAAACACAAACCCAAAACGACCGGTGATTGTTGCGTTTTTAAATTCTTACGGCGTAGTGTGGATGGAAAACATCTCATGCGTTTTCAGAGTGAAACCTCCGTTTTCAAATTTCACCGGCGTAGTGTGGACGTTTTTCTTTTCGTTCCGTTTCCGGTCCAACCTCGAATATGAATTGAAAAATTACTCGCTAAATTTTTACTGTCTTACAGGCCTGAAATGAAATAAACTGAATTAAAATGAAAGTCACGGTGATGTAGATAAACAACGACACATACCCGTCCAACACTTTGGGTAACGTTTCGTAGAAACTGCTTTCGCTTGGCAACTGTCGTCGGCATTTAAAGACTCTATCGAGTTCGTTTTCCTCTGCGAAGTTTTTCTCTGACCTCTCATAGCGGATATCTAACTGAAGATTTGTGTTGAAGTGGAATATTTCCATGACTTCTTCTTGCGACGGTAACTTGTCGTTTTCCCAGTGAAATAACAGCGTATCGACCGGACATTCACCGCTGTTCTGTGAAGCACCAACTGCGAAGAAAAAAAAACGCCACGACAAAAAATTAGAATGCGTTGTGAGAAAAAGGCTTTTGACCGACCATTCTTTTGATTGATTGGTGCCTTCGCGGTTCTAAAGAATAACAGCATTGAGCGATACTGATGGAAATCAAAATGCACCGTAGTGGGCAACAAGAAATGATCTGCATCTGAATCATGTTGCTGGCGATATCAAACAACTTTTTTAAACTTGCAACATATAAACGGGACTTAAGCAAGTGGAACTACAAGAGAACGAAAAACACATTTACAATAACAATTAAAACAAAGCTACGAAATATATTGTACCTATGATTAAAACGACATCAGAAAATGATGGTTTATACCAACGAAAAGTTCCGTCGGGCCGACCGTGAGGCCGTAGATATTCGTATGTTCTCTTTTAACATTAGAGTAACACTCTACCCGCGTTAAGTTTCTTCCAAGCAAACCCCTCTCCCCTCCCTTAGATACCAGAAGACTTCCCAGAATGAAAAGTATATCCCCTCCCTTGGTTAACAGAATGCTCCCCCTCCAACTTCCCTAAAAGTCGTCTTCCTTTTCCCGTAAAGTACTTTTTTGAAGGCTTGAAGCGATGTTCACTTACTGTACACAGACTAACCGCCAGCCGGGGGGACCGTGGTCATCTGCACGGTGCTCGGCTCCTGCGGTGACTTCCTAGTGTTCGCAATGGCGGACTTCTCTATTAAAGTAAAACTAACAAAGCAAAACGATTTAACGAGAAAACTTCTACAAAATGTCACTACAACTGTAAAGATATAGCTCTCTGCAGCGAAAATGAGTAATCGAATTGTAGAAACAACAATAATGATAAAAAAGAGGAGTTAAACTTGTAAGGTAAAGAGCGCCCCACCAGCTTACACTCAAGCCTAATCCACCCCAACACCCCGCCGCCCCAAACCCAAATGAGATATCCTTCGTTACGTCCCGTTCCGGGTTAAACTGAGGTCCCGTCGGTATCGAAAATGTTGACCGAAAGCAATAGTCCAGACTACGGATTTCTAGATCAAAGTTATTCCCAAGATTAGCAAAGTGAAACAAAGAGATCATGTAACAAAACTAAACCACAAACCGTCAACTAACAACTAAACTTTTCTAAATTAAACTATTTAGGGAAAGATGTTTACAAAAGATCGCTTTCTTGACGTTTGGGCGCGCGTCTAATGGTTTATCCGTGCCGCCATTTATCACTCAGGTACGCAAACCTTCTTGCAGCGCCTTTCTTCCACTCAAATAATTTTGCGCTTTGCGAGTACAAGCACAATTGTTTCCGTTTATTGCGAAATTTATCGTTTTGCAAAACAACGCTGCTAGCGCAACATCTCATTTTCTAACAACCACAAAACAATGACAAGCATAAGTTTGACAAAGTTTGAAAGCTGTGCGCTTCTTGGTTAATCTTTTTTCTTAAATAGAATAGGCGAGGACGATTTAATTACTCTCTAACCTTCTCGTGCAATTTAAACGCAGCTCTAGACAATTTGCATTGCCCGCTTGCTCGAAGTGAAAAAGCTAGTGGGAAAAAAGCATCCCCTTAATTTGCGAGGGCTTGTTTTCTCGCTTGCCTCTGTCGCGTCTTCTACGTGAAAAGGCTCGTGGTCTAACGCGGTTTCCGAAGTCAAAGTAATGATAACAATGAACACTCACTGTAGACAATTTCTCGTTCATTCACTTCGTCCTGAAGTTTCTGTAGCTGATAAAGCGCTTCGTACATGGCTTTATAATCCTGGACTTTGTTACGAACATCCGGGCCGACCGGATGGATAACACCGGATTTCCATCTCCTAGGGAGCTCTTCAAACAAATCTCCCTCGGATAAACCCTGCACCACTCCGTGGCCCCAACCAAAGAACCACGAACTCCCAAGCTCGTGAAGCATGCCAGTCAGTCTTTCGTCGTCTTCGTCGTTGAAGTCAAAGTAATGATTCAAATAATTTCGCCAAAAGTAACTTGTAGACAATAGCAGCTGTGAAAAAAGAGAAACCAAAATGAGAACTAACATAGCGTCAAAAGATGTCGCCTTACTCGTGCTCCTCTATGCAGTTAGAGTACAATACAATCTATTTTTCCCTAGGTGATTTGACCACAATTTTAGACCCCACGCACATTAAAGGGGCTACCTCACGGTTTGCGTATTTTAAAAATTTAGCCTAAATTTTTCAAGTTTGACGTTTTTAATCCGTGTTAATCTTCTCCATCCTTAATCATCCTTGTTCCTTCATGGTTTACAATTTAATATCTCTTTAGTATTTCTCCATCTTAGTATAAGTAGACTACTATTTTCAGGTTACCTTAAATTTAAAAGTAATTTTGTACGTGGCTAAAATAACTCAAAATGCCTTGACTGACCTCCTTTAATGTGTTTTCGTCAGTGTTTTTTGAGAACGTCACTATCCCTAGGGCTCCGTTTTCAATTGCCTGCACGCTAGATCGCGTTTTACAAATGTATGCGCTTAAGTGTTTTCGACTGTTTCAGTGTGAAAGAGGCATTGTGCTTCAATTCAACAACTGTACTGTCTTTATTCCAAAAACTCCCGCGATACTATATTTGTATGAAAATTTCGAGGTTTTGATGCGGTGCTATTAACCTTGCATACGGCCGGCGCGCCTGAAATTTGAATTAACCAATCAGGATTCTGCAGGTGGGAAAAACTCTACAGTCCTGACGTCAAATGCATGTTAATTGAAGTCGCATTTTTTCTTACTTGAGATTGCATTAACTATTTACGAAAAAGGATTTTTTGACTCCAACAGCCATGTCAGATTGTATAGAGCGAAAAACTAAATATGAAAGATTTTGCGTCACTAATCTTTTAATTTGGCGCTAAAAATTGGTCGCCCGCGCTCGGCAACTCGCTCCAGGTAGGTTAAAAGTTGTCATTTTGAACTAAATATGCTCTTCCTCGTCAAATTAAGCCCAGAATTCTTGAGTTGAGTATCAGAAGAAGGCAAATCAACTTAAAACTGTCTTTATATTTTGTTCGTTGCGAAGGAAAAGGCTATTATCGGTCGTTTCGGTAGGACAGCTCAGTTTTGATTGCCGCTCAAACAGTGGGCGCAGCCACCGTATGCAAGGTCAAAGGGCTACACTCTTCCGAAAGTCATCAAGAAACCGATGTAACAACTATAGCATCAGCAATCAAAACACAGGTTAAAATATTGATTGTTTTTACCTCTATTGGTGTCGAGAACCTGTGGAGAAACGCAGGGGTCTTCGAATAAGCGCCGCGCTGTTGTTTCAGAAGTGCGGCGCTTATTCGAGTAAATGCGGTATTCCATTTCCGGTAAGACATATTAGGCCTCCCACGTGCTCAGATCATGCAAAGATAAGACGTCGAAGAAAGCTCTTGTTGTCAAGTTGTGTTGAGGGAATACAGTGTAAAAAACAGAAATATAATCAAAAAGAAGTTTTACTACTTTGATGAGGTTCCAAACTGAACAATTTAGGCTAAAACTGACGCATGCGGCTAAATACAGGAATTGCTTGCACTAGCTAAAATGTGCTCCAAACAGCACTCCGGTTAGCTTGAGTAGCGTTTCGGTTAGCTTAAGTTAGCACTGATTGGGATGTGTCGAAAACGAAGACCCAAAAACGAAGACCCTGTGGTCTAAAACGAAGACCCACCGGTCTCAGACCATTTTTTTTCTTCAGGAAAGACTATACACTAGGCTAAATTGCTTTCGTTTTTGTAGCGCATAAACTAAAATGTCATCTGAGCGCGCGGCAAACTTGACAGTTGCTTTATCTCAGTCGGTACAACGTGTCAAATTG